GCCAGTCTTTCGAGAGATCTTTCAAGACCAATTATTTTGACAAGCATTTTCTATTCAGAGTCCGGGACAATGTGTTTTATTCGCTGGCCACTGTGCTGTTTCTATTTCTACAATGCTTCATTGCTATGCTTGCATTGTATCGGTCTTGTTCTGGCATTTGGAAATCCAGTTATTTTGAAGGCACCTCAAACAGAAAGTAACAGGAATGTTAAAATAATCCAAAGGGGGTGGCTGAGTATTTTAACCACTGGAGTAAAATACTGGAAGAAGGAGATATGTTTCATCAGGTCATACATCACAGTCTGTGTTTTGTAACTTTACAAATGTATAGCTAAGTAACAGAAATGCAATGAAACCCTATTAGTGAACTGCAAAGGTGCGCAGTATCCAGATGTGCATCAGTGAATGCCCCAATGTGCAATGGTGCACATTGGCCATTGCACAATGGATGCCTGTACATTATAACATCATGGAAGCCCCCTAGTTGAATATGGATTTGATGAAATAATTCAAATTTACACACACGTAAGGCAATTTAAGAAGATGTTAAGGCCCAAGCAGAATGTCAATTGATATTTTTATTTACTAAATTTGAAAAGCACTGAATGAAATGACAGGGACAACGTCACCCACTCCCTTGGGTCAGCAATTAGTTCAATAATGTAGAAAAGAGAAAGACAAAAGAATAGCTTGGAAGTGAGTCTTGTTCAGCCCTCCTAACATCACAGTAATTATGACATTATGCTAATAAATTCCATAATCAGAAAGGACACCAAAAATCCACATTAATCATTCCCTTTCAAGCTGCACTTATTACAGCCATTCTGCTCTATATTTATCTGGGATCATATTTATTTTTGAAGGCACTTTTTAAGAAGTGTTGCCAATTTAAGCTCTGCAGATCTTAAAGGGGAAGAAAATGTTTGCCATTGTCCTTTAAGGGTGAATGAGAGTCTTATTTCATTTTCTTTCTGACGAGAATTTATGAAAGTTCACAAATGTCTTCAAGGGCAACCTGGAAAGCACTTGGATTATACCAAATCTGAGTATGGGAGAAACCAGAAATGACTGATCTGTCCATCCATTTCAGTTTTATCTGTTTAACTCTTAAATGCCTGGGTGTGAATTCCTGCATATTCAGCTTTATTACTGCTAAGTTAAGGTTGACCGTTCCTTTTTCCCCCCGCAGGAAATCCTTATCTCAAATGCTTATATGGCAACCGAGAACAGGTATACTTCAGTGAACAGAATCAGCGGATTCCTTCACATTCCTTCTTAAACAACAACAAAATTGCCGCCAGAGGCAGAAATAACATGGAAGGTGTAGGGATAGGTTCCTACGTGACGGAAAAGAAGAGCAGTTCAACATTAAAAACAGAGGCAAAATGCAACAACTAGGTCAGGTAAGCCTTGTGCAAGGAAACAAAAATGTTTTAAACCATCTTGAGACCACTTTTAAGCATCTTCCAAACGGTATCCAGGGGTGGGTTTTTTCCTTCTTTCACTGGCCTCCACTTTTCTTATGGTTTCCATTTCATTGACCAAACTTACAGATCTGTAAGGAATAGGAATAGCTGCTGAGGCCTGCTAATCCTCTTTCCTGTCTGTTTTGCTATGTATACACATTCCGTAAGGGAAATTTGGAGGCAGCTGCTGTTTACCTTGCCTGTTGTAGACAAGGACACACAGCAGCCTTAAAAAGTGATTTAAAAGTGCTATCATTGCTAAGTATGAGATATATAATAGTGACTGACCTATGGTCGCCTAGTAAGTTTCACAGATCAGGGAAGATTTGATCCTCGGTCTACTCAATCCTAGTGTGACACCCTAACCGCTATATCATATATGAGTTGTAAAACTTTACTAACAATGTCTCCCAAACATCCATATTTAGTTCTTTGTCTCAACCTCTGAATGAATGATCCCACTTGTTCAAATGCAATGACTAGTTTCACTGTGTTCTACTATTACTTCGTTCTTAGTGTTTAACCATGCTGTGTGTTCAAATCTGGAGCCCCAGCCCTAGGAGAAAGGCAGGCTATAGATGCCTAAACTTTGAAAATGGAGTCTCTGAAATTTAGGTAACCATGTAAATACATGCAAGGCTTGAGCACACAATATGAACTCACCAGGGACAAATGGTTAGATGGGGAGGGGGGGAGAGAAAAGAATCTCAACCCAGAATAACACTTCAGATGTTGAAACTGAATAAAACATTGCATACATCTGCATGTTTGGCATACTTTATTCTGAGCCAACGCTTTGGGAGTGAAATCTTTGGGTCCCTTGGTGCACAATGGAGGGTGAGTATTGTTCAGAGGATATAACTAGCTCTCTTTC